GGGGGGGGGGGAGAGAGAGAGAGAGAGGGAGAGAGGGAGAAAATGGTCCGAGTAGGAGAATGGAAAAATTACAATTATCATCGTATTAAGCAAAGGAAAAAAAAATGAGTTACTTGTAAATAAGGTATACTGAACATAAAATAATCATCCGCTTCGCGCTCGGCACACTCGGCGATCGAAGTAACTTGAGCGCCGATGCGAGTCATTGTACATAAATACATTTACATGTACATATACTAATGTGAACCAGAGTCAAGCCATCATCAAGAGCACAATGTGTAAAGGAAAAAAGATGAGAATTAACGTAATTATCGATCATTGCATTTTAACGTGAATGTAAATATAACACGAGCCCTCCCGTCACCCACTATTTACCCCCCTTTACAATGCATACATAACATTCAACCCCTTCGCAGTCATTTTATTAGAAAATTTTTATACAACCGCTTTTCAACATTTTTTCCAAGCCCCCTTAACCATTTTCTCCCTGTAAGTGAACACGGGATAATAATCTAACACGTATGTCTAATACGCAACGAAGATCTGTTGGTAACAAAGACTTTTTAGTGTTCACTGCGCATTCCTAAGATCCGTTGTTCACTTTTAGCACGAGTATATGAAAGACATTTAAAAGAAAAATTTGGTTCCTCATTTCCTTTAGATATCTGTGCATATATCCATTTCCGAACTTTACATCGACCTTACCAATTTGATTGTGGCTTGATTTTGTTGCCTAACACTGTCATACAACTCTGAGAATTCAAATCACTTTCAAACAGACGTTTCTTTTTTTCAGTTTATTCGAGTGATAATTATTTCTTTAATTTCGTCCACGACCTGTATCATTATTTTGTTTTCTTTTTTCGTTTTCTTGCTCGTTGGAATTCTATTTTTTTTTTTATTCGATTACGATTGGATTTTTTACGGTACTGTGATTGAGAATCAGAAGTTGTAAAATTGACTAGTTTTATACAATTATTTTTATAAATAACTGGCTGGTGGGATTCGCGAAAAAAAAAAACGGGGATCACGTGCAAGTTTTTCTCACGTCGCGTCAGCGAACGAAGAGGGAAAAGCCAATGCGAATTCTTTTCCGCTCGTCCACGTGTCGAAAAATAACGACAGACAGGCAACTCGGCGACGTTCTAAATGTTTGTTGATCTTAATGCGATGTGAAACAATGTCACTGGAATTTATTCGCGAGATCAGGGAGCGCGATATTTGTATAAAAAGATCGTGACTCCTTGCGGTAGCACGATAATGGCCGATCGTGAAAATAAATGTATACACGGCGAACGAGGCGTCGTGCCGCGGAACTGAGGCCATTCTCGAAGTGAATGAAAAGACGTTTAATTGACAGTGATTATACAGTGACGCCCATTCGGTCTACCAGATTGTTAACGTCGATCGGCGAAGACGATGAAACATTTATTGGCCAGCCGACGGGAACAGCAGACAAATGAGAAATATATTGTAAAAAGCTTCACGGATCCCCCGGTATATTATCATTATTCGTTCTACGTTGCCGTGAATTAAAAACTGTACAGCGACGCGCAATTAAGTTAAAGAATATAAGAAAAAGGACATTTCGGTGTCACCCCAGTGCAGTTTACGGATACGACGCAAGCAAAATAAAATTCCAAAGGACACAGGCAGTTCGTTAAAGTAAAAGAAATTAAAATAATGTAATTGCCAACCACCAGCCTACGTGACCTAGACTTATGGAATGAACTTCGTACACAACAATAGGCAATAGTAGTGCGTTTCGTGATTGAAGCGAACGGGATAAAAGAAGATGCGTCTGGATTAAAAAAAAAAAGAAATGTCAATAGAATGTAACCACGAGCCATACGATTTACGGCGACCTCGCACAGTGTACTACGATAACTCTTACGAAGATCGTCATCTTTTTTGAGGTTGTCGATCAGACACCAGGCTCTCTCGAGTGCGACGCGGCGACAATGAAAAATATTTCTACCGATCGGTGCTCAAGCACTCTCGTGAACTATTATAGATTCCAGTGGGCTCTCGAGCGTGCGGGAATTAAATGACAGGACGTTGCGATATACACGATAATATTTAACGGAAGTCCAGTGCGCGCCGGTCGGGGTTACCCCGGGTCTGGGCCAGGATCGCGTAAAACGCGACGCGCGCAGCCAGGGACGAACCCCTTTATCAAAAGAGAAGGAGCAGACAGACTATCGCGAAACTTCATGGAACAGAGTATCGAACCGGTCGACTATAATCGAACCTCGTTAAAAGGTGTCCCCGTCGATCTCGATCGCGATCGACTCCGAGACACGTGGCTCTATCGCGCAGATCGAAAGCAAAAATCTGATCAACGAGAAGCCGAAAGAACTTTCGGAGCTGCGTCGCTTCAATTCGACAACTAAACGCAATACGGGATACTCGGCTTTGGGTTTTTGTGTAAACCTTTTGCGATCTTTTACGAACTGTTCTCAAAACTTTCTACGAACGTTTTCACTCTCGAGCCTGGACTTTCGTAAAAAAATGTATTCAGTCTGCAAGTATGCAATGAGATTGTTATTGATTTATATTTACGTTGACGATTTTTACATAAAAACCAGGCATGCCGATCGGTCTCGAGGCGTATCGATATTTATTCGTACGCCTTTAAACGACCTTAAAATTGTTTCTTTACGAACGCACGATGTTTCATTGTCACTGTTACTCGCAATCTACGAGGCTCTTCGTGCTTCTATTACACGCTAGAAGATTCATGAGAATCGGTAAGGTGATCCGCGGTGCGTCGTCACGTAAAACGTGACGCTCTTACGTAATACGATGAAAACTACGATTTCGTATATATAGGGTGTCCTCTGTTTTTATTCCCGTTTCGCCGATATCAACGATGGGTGTACATAACGGAGAATGTGAAAACTGTACGTTGCGTTAGATGAATTTGATAAGTGAATACCGTATGCATTCTGGACGCGACGGAATATCTTAGACGGAGTCTTAGGACTCTTTCGATTCTCTAATTGCAAAGTCTCATTTATCGCTACGCGAGACACTTGCCATGATACGTACGAGACGATTCTCGTATCGTGGTAGCTGTTCTGTTATATGTATAGAGAGAGAGAGAGAGAGAAAGTATGTTCATAGAAACGGAATGAGAGTATGGGAGTTAAAGAGCGATTTCATTTATATAGAAATTATTAAGGACGAGAGAAGCTTAATCGCTCTCTTCCCGCGTGTCTCTGTATCTTCCGAGAAAACAAAACTACGAAAATCCATCAGACACGACGATTTGACAGCGAACGATTTATCGAGTATAAAAAGTAATCCCTATACTTATCACCAGTTTTGGGGGTTATATTGACAGCGTAACGTTTTGTCTGGCAATACCGTCGAGGCCACGTGACCGATCTTACTGGATCCGCGGGATGCAGATGTCGCTCTCGATGTATATGCGTACAATGCGTGTATCGAGAGTGGGTGTCACACGTGGTGTAATACTTTTATTCCCAAAAAATTTACGATACGTCGACCCGACCACCGACGACCCCCTCCCCCTAAATTTCCCTTTTCCAAATCCTGGTCATCATTTCGTCACCATCATCCCTCCCTGTCCCTCTTACGGAACCTACGGTGCACAAAGGTCATAGGTCGCACTCGAACTCAGAGTGCTCCTTTTACACGCGAGACATCGATTGTAATCCAATACTCTTTTGTAATTGTGGTCACCGCCGAATTTTTTTTTTTTTTTTTTTTTTTTTTTTTAACAATGTATCTCGATTTACGAAAAGAGTGAGTGCGTGGAATGCGAACGGGAATGCGTGTGAGAGAGAGAGAGAGAGAGAGAGAGAGAGAGAGAGAGAGAGGATAAAAAGAAACATGTCGAAATCGTCGAATCGAAAATTGCATCGATCATTATTCTTTCGTCGATCCGCATCGACATTGAAACCTCGACGCAAACTGCACAGAACGCGAAATCGAAGCTGACGAAAGATTGCGTGAACAATTGAAAATCTTATGATCGCCAAAAATAGTAAGGAGCTTCCGGCTGGATGCACTTTTGGTTTTGTAAGGTTAACACTCGCACTGGACATTGAACGCTGGAACAGAGCCGCGGCGAAGCCTTTTTCTTTGCCTGGCGATCATTGGTGCTTTCAGCTCTTGCGTCACTAGACGTTATCGGCCTGTAGTTCTGGCGATGACTGTACATAGGGATGGATCGGTGGTGAAGAGGGGGGCGGGGACGGGGGGACGGTCAGATTGTTCAGTACCATTTTCAATGACCGGAAGATCAAAATTGAGAAAGACAAAAATAGTAAAAATTTGACGCGAGCTTTTCGTCTCTGTCGAGATTAGATTTACTTTTTTTTTTTGTTTTTTTGTTCGAATATGCGTCCCAGCGCCGCGGCAAACACTGTGCGCAAAACGGGAGACGAATACGCGGTGCGGGACGACGCAGGGAGAACCCGAACGAACGTTAGTGCAGATCCGAATTGAATATTCTCGGCATCGCGAAGTCTGGACCGAAGGAGCGTGCGTGCAGTTTTTGCGTGGAGGCTGAAGGGGAAGAAAAAAGTTTGAAAAAAAAAAAAGAAAAACACAAAGGAAAACGAGCCAATAGATCTTACAGTGTGGTGTAAATTAGTGATCGGATGTCGATTAGCAACG